GAGATCAGTATTTCCCTGTAGCTTATGGTTCAGGGAAGATGAAGTATGCACGGCAGTAAGCTGTGTGAGTCCTTTTCTGTTGTTTAGAGGAGACGGGATTGCATTAGTGAGCAGATATGTACCTGCAGCTGCTATTTAAATCAGCAGAATGGAAAAGAATGATCACTAGTGTCATCATTTAGCTGTGCCAGGATAGAATATTACACTTCATATGGCTCTTGTTTTGATAAGCTGATCCTCCCACCTGCAAAGTGTTCAAAGGAAAGTTCTGAGGCCAGTCTCGTGCTGAGGTTTCCATTACTCCTTGTATCTAGGCCCAGCTCCAACTTTCCTCTGTTTTCAAGATCCTGATGTTGCATGTGGGAGAACCAGCAAACAGACTGCAGGACTCTCATTCCACTTCTCTACCAGATGTGAGTCTTGGGACAAGCAGATTTCTGTAAGACTGTTTTGACCTGCACCACTGGAATAAAATCACTTCTAGAGAAAGAAATGCTGATCCAGAAGATAGTTCTGGGGTTTTGATTTGAGGAAGTAGTGCTGCACCAGCTCCAGCTGGACCACACATGAATACCTGGTGGCACTTGATCAAGCCTAATGTCATGACATGCCAGCAGAGTTTGTAGACCATGCAGGTTTTGCCCTCAGAGTAAAGATGGAAATCTGCACATTCATTGTCTGACTTCCTTGAATGACTAGTTTGAGTATGCACAACCCAAATGCATAAGTATATTGTAAGTACTTATACTTCAGAAGTTCTCTTGACTGATTGTAGTGCGTACTTAATGGTATCTTCTCCGTATTAGCAATTACTTTCTGTCAGCAGGACCTTCTTCAGCCAGGACAGGCATGCTGGTCCTGAACAGGGGTAAGGTTTTATCTTCACTCTGTGAAAACGTGTCTCTAGCAGTACAGTGATGAGTTCAGATACCACTGTGTATTCAAGAAATTATTTATCATTTGGACCAAAACCTACTCAGATTTCAGTGGCCTCTGAACCGAGGCCTCCATAGAAGATCTGATGAGATCTGTGCAAGTAACTGACCCTCAAACATTCTCCTTCCATCAGTTTGCTATTTTCTTATTCAGATTTTCTTCACTAGTCATGTTCCCTCTCTGAAAGCCAAACACTGTAATAGCCAACAATTAAAAGTGAATATTGAAGAGTCAGCCATTATCTACACCACGATACAATCTGAACACATGCAAAAGACATTCAAAAGATGAATGAAGAGAGTGAATGAGCTGATTTATCCTGGACTGTTTCTGGTAGTGTGAAGTCTGCCTTTCACAGCCTGATGAAGTGCAGAGACAGTTAGTGGATTTGAATCCAGGAAGGGCACACATTTTGTTTCTGTTCCTGCAAATATATTTAGAGCTGAGATGTGAGCGCAGGAAAAATCCCAGCCAAAAATTCAACCACTGAAGACATAAAATGTAGTTTATTTTGTCAAGACAGTGTTAAAAACAATAGGTTGGGGATGGTAGAAACTTGCATCAGAATTTTTCAGAAGGGTTTCTCCCTGCTTGTATAGGCATTTGATTTTTTAAAAATTCTTTTTCTGCCCTCCAGTTCTTGTAGCGTTCTGCAGTTAGACACTGCTTTGTACAGCCTCAAATACTAAGCCAGTTGTGAACACATCAATTTCTGACTACAGACTGAACAGAATAGGGTGGAAAATTGGACCTGCTGGGTCTTTCTGTCCTCATCCCTGAAACAGCAATGTAAAGTTTCTCACTGTTATCCACAAAGAGAAGACAGGTAGAGGATGGCATAAAAATGCATTCTGCTCAGTTGGGTGATGTACATTATACTTTCCTTTCTGCAAATTTGTCAGGAACTCTCAAAACTTGTTTCATGCAAAATCAGCCTCTTTGCTTTGTTCAGGGTATGGATGAGAAAACTGAGGTCCAGTGAATCACTGTGGATTGAGAGTGAGACCTCATTACACAGCTTGGAGCAGAAGCTATGTAGTCATGTCCTCTCAATCCTATTCAATGTTCTACTTAAAACTGACCTTCTTACTTAATCATTTCTTCCTCCTTTCCCAACTGAGATTGATTTGAATCTTCTTTGGTCTCTTCTAAGTGTTATAGAGGGTGAATCACTGGGTACAGGGCTAAATCTGAGGGTAATTTGGAGAGGAGTCCACTCTGGGCACAGCCTCTTGGCACCCACCCACATGCACCTTTTCTGTGGACACGGAACATCTTGCTGCTGACATTGCAGGTAAATAGGAAATGATGGTGCTATCATACGGGAGAGGACTTAGTACCACTCCTGACCTCCCTGCATCCTCTGTGCTGTAGGAATCTGTCATCACTAGGCTGTCAGTTATATTATCTCCTGCGTGCAGCCGTGCAAACATGCAGTAAAACACGTACAAATGTCTGGTCACAAAAGGCTCAGCAACAGCTCTGTCCAAATAAAATCCCCTAAACAGTCAGAGAGTTGGGTTATTGTCCTTTTAAAGCTCCTTTAAAGATTTGATTTTTTTTCCTCTTTTTACATAAAGCTGTTCTACCTACACCATCCAAATGCCAGTTAATACCCCTGCAGCACAAACAAAATTGTGCTTCAGAGAAATTGTCTGGCTTCTCAAAGCCACGGCCTTGCCCTTTAAAATGAAGGGCATGCTTCAGAAAAGCTCCCCTTTTCTTCCAGACCTTTGCTTTCAATGCACGCGCAGCTCTTCCACCTTCACTGGTGAAGGTATCCTATCTTCTCAAGCCCAGCAAGGACGCTTGTCCCTGGGAGGTATTAACACAACATCTTCAAAATCCAGAAGTTGCTTTGGCATTAAGTTCTCATTGAAGCACCATCTTAAGTAGGCAGCAGGAGGAAATTTGCTATAAGTTATCCCATCTATTGGCTGGGACCTTCCTTTTTTCCAAAGGAAATCAGGCTTGTATAATCAAGCTATTTGTTAGTGGGAGCCTGGGCCCATCTATCAGTCAATCTGTCAAGGGCTCCTCCTTTGAGCTTTGAACCCACTGGGTAATTTAACCTATCGTTGATGGGGTGGAAGAGGTCCCAATGCTATTGTGTTCCTATAAATTTCATGAAAATAGGCAGCCAAGCAGAGCAGAGAGTTCTCATTAGTGCTCATAAGCCCATCTTTTATTAGACATCAATGAACTCATGGGGGTAGGGACATTGGAAGAGGGTTTACACATTTGGCTGCCCATGAAGCAACTTGTTTCAGTGTGTGCACTCTGATACCCTGTCAAGAGGCCTCCTGTAGTAACAGCTTCTTGGTTTTAACAGGATGTCAGACAGATCTCTTAGCTCCTTTCTGCTGATTTCAACAGTGCTTCACACAGCAGAAAAGTCAGCCTGCTTGTTGTGCTTCCCTTCCTTCCCCAGCCAAAACCATTGGGGAGAGTTCCCAAACACTGCTTAACAGCAACCACAACATCAGAGGTGGCTGCTTTGCAGTGAAAACCAGCAGAGACTTGTGTAATGGCGTTGGTACCGCAGCATGAAAAGTATTGTCCAAACATAAGCGAGTTACTGTAAAATCAGTCACATCAGATTGTCTAGACAGACTGCAGGGTTAAGGAAGGTGGGTGAGCAAATCTTGTTTTTTGTTAAGATGATACAGCTTGTATCAGTTTTTCTCCCAGACTCTTTTGCATTAGTAGTGTTGTATTTTGTCTGTTCATCATGTGGAATAAACAAATCTGAGCTGTTACTCAAAGTATTTCTCTTCATCTCAAAGTGAAGGAAAGTGCAGTGCAGTTTGAAGCAGATTTCCAAAGCCCAAATGTGTGGCAGTATGTCTAGCTACAAGAAAGACAGTGTTTCAGCTTTAGATCTGGAATCCCTGTGCTTTTCAGGATGGAAGTTAAATCTCTGGGCTCTACTCAAGCATAATTCTGGACAGAGGTGTGCAGATGGAGATGTTCGCAGCATATGGTTTAATGTACTGAGGGCAACCTATGGGTGAAGCTTTCTATCAAAGATTTTTGATGTAATGCTCATATACTGTAGCTAGAAACCTCCAGGAATCAGTGGAATTTAAAAGCATATATGTATAAAACAAATTTTTATTTCAAGGAGAACAAGGAACAACAGCTGGAATACACCCTCCAGCTTGCACCAGTGATATTGCAACCTGTATTTCAAAGGGCTACTTGAAATCAAGGTCATGTCAGACTTACTGCTTTTTGTGTGTATCAGAAAATGCTGCCACCTTTAGTTCTTTTGGTCATGATTTTTCTTTAAAGTGCATACTTATTTGTTCTCATTTTAGCAATCTAGGTAGAAGAAAAGCCAGTTTAATTCTTACTTTCAAAGAAAATCACACTGATCCGAATATGTGGATTTGCACCTGATTAGGTAATATGTGGGCTGTGTGTGCACATCCATTGTTCGGGTTATGTGTCCTTTTACATTTTTAAAAGCCAATGGCAATTTTACAGAAAAAAAAAAAAAAAAAAAAAAAAAAGGCTTTATTTTCAATTTGACAAATTACTGTTTTTGTTATTTAGAATTCATTGCTGAATTCTTTTTATTGGAAATAGGAATGTCTTCTTCCTTCCATCCTTCCTTCCTTCCTTCCTTCCTTCCTTCCTTCCTTCCTTCCTTCCTTCCTTCCTTCCTTCCTTCCTTCCTTCTTTTCTTATTTCTCTCTCTCTTTCTCTCTCTCTCTCTCTCTCTGTTTTTCCTTCTGCTATCTGCCTGCCTGCCTTCCTCTCTTAGGCAATATCATCATAATTTCTAAAAGCTTTAACAAGCAGGTGAAACAATAGAACAAGGTTTTCTTCTTTTTAAATGGTAGTGACTAAGCAGTATGTCCACAGAACTTCTTAAAAGTCAGTTTGATTTACTGTGAGGTACAATACAGCAGGCTTTGGCATACATTACCCTGACAGAGTTTGTGTGTATGGAGGACCAACAGGATGAAACTGCAAAAAAGCTGGTTGCCTCCAATTCTTGATGAATGAAAACAGAAAAGAAGGAGAGAAGAAAGACAAAGGAAGCAAGTGGTGGTAAGGTTCCTGCACAGTGTTCTTGCACACTGTGGACCATCCTCTTGGTAGCAGGATATCTACACATGATGGACCAGACAAGAGAAGGCAGCTTGCTAGTGGAAAGTGTTGCCAACATGGCCTTTTGCAGAAGCTGAGATTTATTTGCTGAAAACAAACCCCTTTATCTGACAATCTCTATGGGTGGTATGGCACTAATTAGCAAACATCAAACCAGGCAGCAGCTCTTTTTAAGTAAATAGAATATCTTGCCCTGAGATTAGGATCCAGAGAACCCCTCAGCTGCAAGCAGGAGATCTGAAAGAAGGGCAGGCATGAGCAAGATACCTGTTCCCAAAGTCACCAAGAGAGGAGAAATTTTATCTATTAATTTTATTGCTGCTTTTTCCAAAGCTGACTTTGTATTATATTACTCCATCTGTATACTTCTCCTGTTTGTATACACAGATTCTGTGTTTCAGATGTAGAAATATTGACTTATGAGGTCCCCAGTGGTGATGTGTGTCTTTTCCCAAATTTCTGGAGAAGAGGAAGAAGATCAGGTATAAGCATGTTTCAAAAATCAGGTACTGGAAGCTGGCCACTGCAACTGCTTTCTGCACCCTGAAAGGCAACTGCAAAGGCAGCTTAAAAAAAAAAAAAAAGGGGGGAAGAAATTTACTTTTGTGTTTAGTTTAGTGAATGTGAATGAGGAATAGATGTGGAGAAGTTCCTAAAAGTCACTGTGGTTTATCACAGGACTGAAGTGAAAATCAAGTATGCAAGGCATAGCCAGAGGTCATCTTCCAGCTTTGAGTGATGGCACGTGGGTGCCCAGTACAAGCTGAGACTGCCAAGTATGAAAGAGTATAAAAGCTCACCTCAGGTAATTCCCCTCACAGACACGCAATACCCACCCAATTTTTGGTCCAGCTAGCTTCACTGTCTTTACCTGAAACATCAAGCTGGGGATGACATGTCTCAAGTCTCTCTAGTGCTTTCTGGATCCATGTAAAGAAGCAACTCAGGAAGAGGAGAAAGCTTTGCAAAGTTACCTGCAATTACCTAAATCTTAGCATCATTCCCCTTAGCACAGTTTCATTTGAGGGAAAATGACCTCCAAGCAAAATCCCAGTCAAACAGGTCAAGATTATAACCTTTGCCACCTAGCAGCACAGCCAACACAATGGAAAATCACCTTTGCCCTCAGCAGATGTTAAAACAGTGATATTACTTGTCTCAGTCTTTGATATATTGTAAGGATAATGTCCACCAACCCCTGTGAGATGGTCTTTGCTTAAGAGGCAGAATTGTAAAGGCATCTGAAGCCCTATAGGAAATAATTAAATTTCTGTGCTGGCTAGTATGTGATGGTGTTCTCTGAAACAGTAGGGAAAAAAATGGCTGGGTTTTGCGGGGTTTGTAGAGCTTCTTTTCACATTTAATGCAAGTGTGAGATCCTGCGATTCTGTAAGCCCTTCCTTCCAGTTCCCGATAATACAGTGAATCTTTGAACATACCACTGAACTGGAGCATCACAGAGATACCCCAGTGACCAGTATCCTTCAGGCCATGCTTGGCTATCCTATTTTGGCAATGGATTGAGCACCACTAGAGTTTAGTGGGAACGCATCCTTCCCAAGCCTAATTGACCCATAGTCTCTGAAACCAAATTTCCTCCGGTCAGACTTTAACTCAGACTGTGTGTTAACTCAGTCTCTGTGAAATACCACTGACATGCCTTAAACTACTTCCCATAGTAAATATCTTTCAGTAGTGGCAGTGGTGCATTGTTGGGTCTGTTCAGACTCACTGTTAAGTTCTGGAACCAGTGTGTGTTTTGAGTTTGTGTTGGGTAACATTTCTTAGTCAGGGTACTTCATTTGCCTTCTGGAGATTTAAGGCAGGAGTTGAACAGAAGCAGAAATTTCTAGAGTGGTATATCCTAATAATGAACTTTGCTTCTTTATTTTTTGAATGTACAAAGCATACTTCCCTCCC